AATATGTCCATTTATATACAATTATATAAAATTATATATATTTTTATATAATTTTATATAATTTATGTATATAAAACATTTTTTCCTGGGTATTCATTTATATTTAAGATACACCGGAATGTATTAGTGAGTGCTCTTATAAAGAAATAATATAATTTCTCACGTTAGTAAATTATTTTTTATCAATTAGTCGTTAAAAGATCTAAAGAATGTAATTAATTATATGGATCGACGAATTTTATACGCGAATAATTTCAAGAAAACAATACTCTATGCAATTTTATAAAAAGACTAATTGAAAATGTTAAGTAAAAATTTTTTTTGAAAAAGGCTACTTATTGTTAATTAATTATTAACAAAAAAAAATGTCTTAATCAAATGTCTTAATCTAGCAATGCAGTTATCTATTTTTATATTTCAAAAATATATCGAGTTGATATTTTAGTATCCTTGTCATTACATTTTGGTAACAATTAATAAAAGAGCTACAACAATTAATATTTCTATAACAGATACAAACGGTTAACAAATGCATTTTTTGATACCACAAAGATGTGTAATTATTGTATCTGTCTGTGTTATACAGAGAATTTTTCTCAGAATTCCATGTCCCAGCCAGAAAATTCGTCCGGTGGAATATCGCGGTCAGGTGGATATCTTTCAAAGTTTCGTGTATCGAGTTGATGTCGTACCTAGAAATGCCCAAATAAAATAGATGATTTTAATACAAATTTGAAGTAAAATTTTTGCATAAAAAATAAAAAATTGAAAGCGTTTTATTTATAAATCCTATTAATAAAAAGTGTAAAGTTTGCAAAAGTAATATACCGTTGGTACAATGGGAGCCGGTAGAGCCAATCTTTGAAGTGCTTGCCAGTTGAATCCGGAAAACCATCTATTAAAAGGACAAAGATAGAAATCATTATAAAGGAAAAGATAAAATATAGGCTACTTAAAATTTATATATAACTAAATATATATTTATATTTGTATAACTAAAAAATTAAAAATTACACAAAAAAAAACAAAAAGAATCCCATGTTACTATCTTTTTCTCTATTTTATATTATATTGGAAAGCATCTTATTTTATAAAATAGAAAATATCTTTTACAAAATAGTTTCTCACAAAGATATTTAAGCATGGAATGTTTTTAAAAATATAAATATTTTTTTTCTTTTTTGTAAAATCTTTCTAACAACTTACTTGTGATCGCGAATATCCTGTATACCGTTTCGCTGGTAACCCAGTCGTTCGGAAGCGTTCAAACGGAGTAGTTTCTTGATGAGATTATTGGCGTTTTTGTTGACTATGTTTGGTATACTAACCATTTCGATTCCCTTGAGAATATTGTTATAAGTTGTCATATGATCGGATCCTCGGAAAGGCGGCTTACCAACGAGAAGCTCATGAGTTAGGATACCGAGAGCCCAATAATCCACCGCTCTAACGAAATGAAGAATTAAATGCGATGGGAAAAACATATAGAAAAATATATAAAGACAATAATATGTAAATATAGAAAAGCATAGATATAACAATCATATAGATATAACAATATAACAATTATAATGAACGTTGGAACAATCTTAAATTTCTTACCTGTCATGGCCTTTATTCAAAATAATTTCCGGTGCGACATACTCTGGCGTACCGGCAAATGTCCACGTTTTGGCCGGACCAATTTTCTTACTAAAACCAAAGTCCACCTACGGAAGAGAGATAATTTTTTTTTTTGTAGAATTTCTCATTCTCACAATCGGGCCTGCTGCAGTAGGCAGGTGTGTAAGTTATATATTGCACAATAAAAAAAGCATTAACAAAGAAAGCGCCAAATTAAGTTTTAAAGGATCAATTCTCTATTCCTAACCAATTGCATATGCTCGCTTCTGTTAGATTTAATTTTTTCCAAAACTTGTACTGTACATCACCAACCGTTGGAGTGAATAATTGTTTATTTTCTGATGCTACTAAAATATTTCAGTACATACAGAACCATTACATTCAGTACATACAAAACCATTTTAGCATCAAGATATCGATCGTTTTCCTAGAACAGAAACGTGAAAATTTTCTCTATTAAATTTAATAGTAAAAAAAAATTTTTATCTTTCAGATTTCTGTTCTAGTTGCATGATCAAATTTCATCCTCTATAAAAAGATATTTAGAAAATTTTTTAAAGATTATTCCTATTCATAAGATTGGTAAATAGAAATATTAAGAGGGACAGCAAAATCTCCTTTGCGCCTTATATTTCAGCAGCGCAGGCCCGATTATAATAATCTCTAAATGTATATTTCGAAGAAACTATAATAATCGTGTAATTGAGAGTTAAGTTATTATAATTAAAAATCGAATGTCTCACCAACTTTAAATAGCCACGTGTGTCGAGCATAAGATTTTCCGGTTTGAGATCTCGATAAACAATGTTTAGTGAGTGAAGATGATCGAGGGCTTCTACTACACAGCCAACCATAAACTGTGTAGTGACGTCATCGAAAAGACGTCTCCTTTGAAGAGTTGTCCAAACATCTCCGCCGAGACATACTTCCATAAGAAAATAGACGTACTTGCTATCTTTGTACGTTTGATAAAGTCTAAAAAAAATGCGAAATTATATTAACTTTGATCTAATTAATATTGTTTAAAAATTCTTTTGTTATACTTGATTTAAATTTATTAGTCAATTAGTTTTTCGTTTACATATTTTTATTAATCTTGATGTCGATTACAAATTTTACGATGTTAGTTGTTTTTACAGTTTATCAACAATTGAGAAACAGAAATAAACTAAAATATATATTTTATATTGATTTGAAATATCATTTTATACTAGCAATGATAGTTTCATAATATTACAAGTTAATCGTGATCTACATTGTAATATCAAATTTCAGCGAAAGATAACTTACTTGCATATGAAAGGAGAATCGCACGCTTGCATAATATGTTTCTCATTCAGCACATGCTCTTGCTGTTGTTGCTCGACCATGACCTTCTTCTTGAGTTTCTTCAGAGCGAAGCTCTTATTCGGGTTGGATCTGAGTGTCACCAATTCGACACGACCGAATCCACCAACTCCTAACGTTCCTCTCGTTTCAAGGTCGATCAAGGTTAAATTTGCATACTCGTTAGTCCACTTCTTTGGGGTCAACGAACGCTTTTGCTTTTCATATTCAGCTAACCAGTTCTTGTTGCGAATCTCATCCAGACTGCCCAGATGGTTCAGGAATGACCTGGCAATTTCTTCGAATTATGTAATATTTTTAACGTTTTATATTTACGGAAAAAGATCGTCGTCCATTGATTAATTATGAATGTCTCTTTGTAAAATAAAATAATAATTTTGTATAATAGTTAATAGTAACAATCTTGAGGGATAAGTTTCTTAATTTTTTAAATTTATCTTAAAATGAAGTAAAATATCAAAATAAAAAAAATGTAAGGCGTTGTTTACAATACGCTAAGTAAGCTTGATTTAAGAGTAAGAAATTGACCAATCACAGTCGATTATTCTTTTCACAATTGACTGTGATTGGTCAATTTCTTACTCTTACTTCGTAAACCAAGCTTACTTCGCGTATTGTAGACAACGCCGTACAGTTTGAAGTAAATGATTGATATCTTAGATTAAATAATTCACGGTTATTTCATAGAAATTAAGATAGCTTTTGCAACTTATATTTTTTAAATTTATTTAATTTGACGACATATACAATCAATTTGACACACACACACACACACACACTTCAGAGATTTATTAATTATAAAATAACGCGTGTATTAATTGAACTCACGTTCTGTCCAGGGTCAAGCATTCGACACCAGGTGCGAGCGCGATCGCGTTGGCACGTCGTTCACCCTCGTCATCGTAGAGAGCCAATTCGCCGAAGTAATCTCCTTTGCCGAGGACTACTAGTTCCTCCTCGCCTCCATATTCGGTGTCTTTGGTGATCCGTACGTTGCCACCGCTGATTATGTAGAATTTTTCACCCTTCTCGCCCTGTCGCAGTATTTTCGCTCCAGCCGGGAAAAATTCCTGCAAGCATTATTATAACGTTCTTTTAAGCCATATTATAAACTAAGCGGCGAGCAGAATGGTATCTTTTGAAATATCTTCTTACTTACTACTCTTATAAGATCGGATATCTTCGCGAGCACATGATCCTTGGGTTCCGGAAGTTTTTGAAGAACGGAAACGCGTTGGAGGAAACGGATGTTGCCCTCCAGTTGTTCCTGAGCTGTTCTCATCATTATAGTTAAAAACACTGATCTGTCGAGAACCCATACTTTTCCAGCTTTCTTTACTGAACCACAAAATTAGACACATGTATTAATTTCAAAGCATTAGCACTTCTTAGTTTTCAAGAAAACTAAGTTTTCAAGAAAACTTAGTTTTCAAGAAAACTTCTAATTTTTTAAATTTCGATGATTTTTAATGTGTTTAATAATATTGTAAATTACTAAGTTTGAATATATATACTTTACTCCAGGTTTGAATATATATAGCTTGTCTTACAAAATTTCTCTTTTTATAATATTTACATAAACTTAAATATACTTGTACTTAATTTTGAGAAATATTTCCTAAAACGTGTAATAAATTTTTAGAAATGTGTCGATTTTTTAATTCATTTTTCACACTTACCGCTAATAGATCGAAGTCTTTTTGTGTTATATAATAAAGCAATTTCTCCAAACGCAACTCCTGGTCCAAAACTTCTTTGGAATTTGTTCCCCTCGTAAATGTCAAAATCTCCTTCCGCCGACACGTACAAGTGCGAGCCTATAAATAAACAATATGCTTAAAAAATTTACATATAACTGTGTACATTAATATTTATCAAGTAAAAAAGAGGCTATACCTATATCGCCCTCTCGGATAACTTGAGTATTAGCAAGTATTTGTTTTGGATACATGGCAGAAACGAGTGACTCCACCTGATTTTCTTCAAGATTACCCAGAAATTCGTTCTCCAAAATAGCCCTTTTAATTTGCCTGGCACTCCTATAAATAAAAAAAAGAACGATAATATTATGTTCTATACTTTTTCGAAAGGAATGAAATAAAATAAAATCTATATCGCGAGAGATTAGAAAACAATTACATAATAGACAATTAAAAACTTATAATTTTCTAATATCATTATTTTCATTAATTATTATATAAATTTCAACGCTAGCTACCATAAATTATGTTATAAATTATTATTAATTTATGAATATTTATCATTATTATTTTCTGGTTACTTGGCATCTTTCTCGTATACGGGTGTCGGTGCCGAGGGTGGCGTTGGCGTTCTTCCGATGACGCCACCCCTTGGATTATTTACGTATTGTTCGCCATTGTTTACAGCAGCCGCATCTTCTAATCCAGATTCTTCTTGATGTGATGGAAGATGATTGACATGATTGGTCTCAGACGGCGGTGACGACACTATGACTTTCGTGAGTGATGTGGATGATTCGGATGATGATGGAACAGTGCCATTTACAGTTATCGGAGGCAAGGTACCAGGTAGCGGACGTATCTAATAGAGATTGAAGTATTTTAATAAAAAAAAATTTTTAATTAGAAAGATAATTTTGATAAAATTATGCCTCTTCTAATGATAAGTGATTTATTTATAAATTACGTTAATAAGACGTACGACGCCTATAGTGAAACTGGAGTCCTCATAGCCCGGCAGAGGGGTGAGATTGATGCTACCCCTCTGCCCTCGGAATGTTAGGAAGTTGGCCCTCGGGAAGCATGAGAACCTCATGTTATCTTCGTCCAAAGCATGTCCAAAGCAAATTCTTTTAACACCTGAAAGAAACGTGTCCCTTTAATATTTATTTTAAGCATAGCTTAAATCATTAATGTTTGTATTATTTGATAGAAAAAAAATATAAATTTACATTGTAAACATAAAAAAAACGTATAGATATATACATTGAAAATTCGTAATATAAAATAATAATTCTTATGCACACTTTTTATGTGCACAAGTCTTTACAAAATATTATATAATGTGTAGCAAAATTGTGCAATATTTTAATATTTTCTTTGTTTATTGATATAATTGCATCCCTGATGGCATGCTAATTAATTCACAACGTAATTTTTATCCACAATTATTTCATCTGTAATATTTAACATTAGAAGAATTCTCTCTCTTTCTCTTCTTCATTAGTTCGCCGAAAGTCAAAGTCTCACAGAGGTCTAATTATTTTCGCACAGGGTAATCAATTTAAGTAAATGAACAAATTAATGAAGAGGCAACTAATTTGATCTCTGACGTATAATTTTATTCACCGTTTGATATATACATCCAACATATCTGTGGCTAATAGTTATTTCCCGTCAGCGTCGAAGAAACGTTTAATTAAGCTGATAGTCATAATTGAGCGGAACACATAATACTAGGATAATTATTTCGGTCACTCACTCACTCGTATCACGTTCCTTTCTTCATAGCGGCTCTCAACAGGTAATTATTCTTCGATATCACTGCACGCGGAGGTCATTCATGACCGGCACTCGATTCCTTCGTCGAACACTTCGACTCGTTCGGATCGCATTACGCTCATCATATAACTACTCCACTTTTTGTGACACACAGCTCTTTTTTTCATACGACTCGGTCTCGCTGCGAGAGTCGATTGCTACCACAGCAGTCACATGCTTATGCTAATGGTGTTTGGCGCACGTGATATATTGTGCCTTGACGTCATAATGCATTAGCACATGCTCATGATGAGAATATTCTCGACACTTTACCAAGTCCGATCATCCTTTCCATTTCGTTAAGATTTTTAGTTATGGCAACTTTTCTGGAAAGAAGCGCTATATAATATGCTGAAGCTTTCAAAATTGTAAATGTCATAATAAATGAATAAATAAATGAGCTTGCGATTATTAATTTGCAATTTGTATTGTTGCGTTAATATTTCTTATTACTTTGTAATAACTATTATAAATTAATTTCTTATATATAAAATGCAGTACAAAACAAATTTTATAGATTTAGAGCATGAAGATTTTATTCCTTCTGTTCAAAGAGGACTAAAATAATTTTAATAATAATTTCGTTTCCTTCTTTTTTTGTATATTTCAATTAAAATAAATGTACTCAGAAAACTTAATTTTACAGATATCATTGATGCAGGTTTCTTCAAGATATTGCTGAAGTTTCAGTTCTTTAAAAGAATATTTTATTAAAATTATACGGCTTGTTTTATTATTATACATATAAAATGCTTCAAGTTGCAATATAGGAACATCTTCAATTCTTTATTAAAATTTGAGAGACTCGCAATTATTATTCTCTTCAGCACTGCTCTTTCGCAAAAAATCCGTCAAGGCTTGCGCATATCTTATTGTGAAACCACTCGATAAATCCACGTTGTTGTTAATCTTGTTACGATGCAATACGATGAGTTATTCGGTTTTATTAGAATCTTTTGCAAGGTGCACACAAAATTGCAAGCGAATTTATTCGCTTCTAATTTTTCCTCGGGTATTGTTTCACGAGGAGACGTCACTTCGTTTATCACCGATATGCAAACAGCGCAGGAATCTTGAGGTGATATCGCGATCGTTTAGTCGTATTCATTATTCAGGACGCTTTAGAAGCCTCAGTTATGCCAATTACTATTATTTCATGACTTTGGTGTCAAAATGACTTTTTTTTTATCAACACTGAAAGAATTCTTTTCGGAATCATTGAAATTCTAGCACTGAATAATGAATATATTGCGGGGTAACCGAATAAAAAAGAGAATTTATAACTTAAATATAAAAAAGTTTTAAAAGAAGATAAAAAAATAAACAACCAAAATTAAGAAAAAGTTAGATATTAATCTTTACAAATTTTTTTGCGAGGGCAATACAATTCTGTTCTTCATATTGAGTTCATCAATTGTTGAACATTTCATATAATTATTATATTTCCATAAAATTTCAAGACAATTCTCTGTTACATATTGTCAAAATGTTATTATAATTACTTAATAAATCACAAAAGTATTTGCATAGATACAATCTTCGCATAATTCTCTAATGATACGTGACCTCCTTATACTCATGCAAGGTCGACTCGTATCGGATTGTACGCACTATATTGAGGCCATGATAACGCTATTTGATTGAACGCACAAGCAAACGATTACCCAAACCCTAAATATATCCTCTGATTATACGGTCGTTGAAGCATGCACGATAAGTTCTGCGAGCAATCAATTAATTAATAAGTAATTTTCTATACAGTAAGATTTTTGAAAATTCATTAAATATATTATCTCTTCCATAAGAATCGGCTAATAAAAAAGAAATATTTCAAAACTATCTGTGTAATAGGACAAATTGTGTCAAAGCGATTCACAAGCAATTGCATCGCTGTGAAGTAATTGAATTCAAGCCTACGAGATCTTAACGCGCGCACCAAGCTACAAATATTATATAACTATAATTAACGAAGCGATAGTATCGTTGTTCATTATTCGAATAAGTAAATCACGCGTTTTGTCATCGTGTTCCGAAATAAAAAATAAGAAAGAACCTCGCACTTCCGGTATTTCATGATAAATTAATTAAACTATTTTTACGTAACAGGAAAAATCAAAAGAGTCGGAAAAGTACTTCGGGTTTCGTAACTGAAAGAAGTTTTTTGAAAAAAAAAAAAATACTATTCAACCCATATTACGCACCAGGAAGACTTGATTAAAATACTATATTCGTAATATTTTATATTCATTTTTCATATAAATATTTTATGTTTGTGTCTTGTAATATATAAAATTATTATTTATTGTGATAAATAAAATATGTCAAAAGAAAGATGAGGAAAACGAGAGCGAAAACGGCGGTCGATCGACAATTACACGCAATTCCATTCTCTTAGTGCGACATTTCTTGTCTGTAAAAAAAAACAACCATGCCTTGTTAACAGCTCGGAATTAAGGTTTCGGGAGAATAATATTACGGTTCACGTCTCGTTATGCGGCGATGCGCTCGACATGATTTGCCAGTGCATCGCGCGACACTTTTTTCGCTTCGCTTTTCAGTGTAGTTGTTTATGTAAAAATTACGAGGTCACGAATCCCGGAAATGATGGAAACGTAACGATATTGTAATCTGTTGCACAATGAGCTCGGTGTCGATTTCCCTGACGGAAAACACCGGCAATATTTAACCGCACGTCATGATGCGGTTGCGAAAAACCAATGACAAGGATAAATAAAACATAATACGATTCTTGTCTCATTAAGTCTTAAAATATTCAGACTTGCATATTTTTAAACCGAGTGTATCGTCTGTGGGCAACAATGATTCGAATTTCAATAATTGAGGAAAATTTACAGTTCGTCTTGAAACTCAAGCGCCTTTCCTTCAATGTACAACTTTTTAACTCGATTTATTATAAAAAATATAATTTAGATTTGATTAGTTTAGATCTTTTTTTACAACAGTCTTTGTTTTTATTATTATATATATTAAGATTATTTTTATTAACAATAACACAGTATTAAAAATAGATATACTTAATGATTTTGTTTGCAAATTACTAAATCATAAACTTATCTAATTAATAATTAAGAATAAAATTAAATAGTAACTATAATTCAGAGTCTAAGAAGCCAAAGCATATTTTTAGAATTTAAATGTCCTTTTCGTACATTTTACATTCTTTTCTCCTGATAATTATATAAAAATTCTTTTCTTTGCTAATTATGAGTTTCCAGTTCTAGAACTTTGTTACTTCACGTGGTGAAATGTTTCGCAAACATTTTATAACGTAACACAAAGATAATACGTGTTATATGTGTTAAGGTAGCAAGCAATTGAGCATTGCTCAATGTTTTATCGATATATTTGCGAAGAAGTCTGCGTACACATTACAAGCCGCGGACAATTAAGGTAATATTGATAACGTCAGTTATACATACACTGAGAGAAAAATATTTGATATTTGTAACTATAATTACATATTACTATAATTATGATTATTACTGCTATAATAATAATAACAGTAACTATGTGTATAGTTCTAGCAACAAATGTTTATAGTTAGTAACCTAAAATGACTATATAATTATAGTTATTATAACCATAAAATAGTTGAAATTACCATAAAAAATATAGTTGTCCCAAAATATAACTATAAAATTATAATCGCTTGAATCATTTTTATAGTAATTTCAACTATTTTATGGTTATAATAACTATAATTATAGTCATTTTAGGTTGCCAACTATGTACATTCGTTGCTAGAACTATATGCATAGTTACTGTTATTATTATTATAGCAGTAATAATCATAATTATAGTAATTATATAATTATATATATATAGTAATTATATATAATTATAGTTATAAATACAAAACATTTTCTCTCAGTGTATAGACGCCTCTTTATTATAGGCTCTTTATTATTATATTTAATCAACAATATCGACAATCATTGCCGAGATTAATTAACTTCATCTATGCCTATACGTGTGTATGGCAATAATTAATTTTCTTATCGCGACACACGCGTCTTATATACATATGACGTTTGCTTTGTAACCAATAGCTATTTTTTATGGCTTCATTTGCTAATTATTACTCATTGCCTCTTGTTTGCAAATTATTTGTACTCAGGATAAACAGAGATACAAACGCGCAATAACTAAAAGTATTACGATAATTAATAATAAAAAATAATAATAATTTTGAGAAAAATAAATTTTCCTATTGCACATATAATGTTTAGGTACTTAAAAGACAGTACAATACTAATTGATCGCAAATAAATCTATATAAATCTATATAAATTAATAAAGCGAGTATTAAGCTTTGAATTTTTAATGTGTAAATACAATGTAATTTTCTTCTTTTAATTAATATTATACGTTGCTCAATAAAAATCTAGTTATATATTTTTTCGTAATAAGATTTGAGAGTAATATATTAAAAATAATGATATAAAATAAATATAATATAAAATAATGTAAAATATATTGAATCTGTATTTTATATTTTTTCGCAACAGAATCAAATTAAATTGTACAAATTGTACACAAATCGAATTAACAATCCGATATTTATACTCTCATTGCGACACTGATTAAAGGAAATCTTTTCACTTGGTTGCCATCTTCAGTTTATCGACATCGGAATGCAAGTCGATCTTGAAATTTATCAGTCTAGAATGATATCAGGAATACTAGTCAACGTTTCCGTGAATCGATTAGATAATCAATCGCGCAGTGAGAAAAATGTGCGATGAGAAACAAGTCTATCATAGCATTGTCTTGAGCAAATTCGATGATGTGCAACACAATTAGCAATGCTCATACTTTTTTGCGAAACTCACCCTTCAGGTTGACGTGGGAAATTTTTCAAGCTGGACTGAGAATCCTGCGCCGGAAGGCCCACTAACGAACAATGATGTCAAGCAAGATTATGCGCTTTTCGCTCGCGCGATCTCGGAGGAAAGAGACATAGATCTTTTTTTTCAAGTACGACCGCACGGAGGTGTACTGCATGAATTCGCACGTTCGACTGATGCTCAGGTACGACAAAGACACAGAAATCTTATCTAGCCGATAACAGAGCGGCGACGAGCAGTGTCAACAAGCAGGTATATGTGGCGCGCGAGCATCTTATCTAATGAGTCTATTCTTTTTCTTTTAATAAGACTGCCTTCGTGTTCTTTGTCAAACGTTCGTATAGGCATTGTAACTATCAGGAAAAATATACTCTTTTTACTGGGTAACAATACTAATTTAATTTTTGTTAACTTTGCTGCTTATAAATACGAACTAAGAGTAACGGTTAAAAATTTTATTTATAATCTTTTTGTTTCTTTTTTTATTTTGTATTTTTTCGGAAATAAGTATAAGATCATAATTCATTAAAAATTACTTTATTGGAATCAGCGTGTAATATTAAGTTTTAATGTCACATAATTAAGTTTAAGATAAAAGTTTTTATAAAAAAACACTGGTAATATTAATTTCAATTTAAAAATACAAATTTATTGTAAAATTAGATAAAACAATATTTTGTTTAAATTGGAAATAACATTGATCTATTCTATTAGTTTGAGTATTGCTGCAATTCGAGGATTAAAATGTTAATTTTATTGATTTACAATTTATAGCGTCTTTATATATTTTTCTAAGGTTAAAGTAAAATATTTGAACATAAGATAAATGTTCTTCAAGTATAATAATATCTGCTTGTGTGTGTGCAATGCTGATTCAGCAATGATTTGCACTCTCACATTAATGAACAAAAATTGTACACGTGCATCCAAAGTTTTCAATATAAAAGTGTAACTGAACGTCAAGATTCATTATCCAAGACAACGATGCTTTATCGTAAAATTTTAATATACGTCAGTGACAATAATTAAATTAGTAAGAATAGACTCTTAGTATCAAATAATGATCTAAAGAAAGTGAAGTTTTATTTTCTTTATATGACAACATAAGCAATTAAAAGAAATATTGATAATTAAAGTAATTATTAAGTATTGCAACATAAATACTATTATGTTTGAAGACATTGTTTGAAGATATGCTGTTGTTAATGTTATTAAGAACAATTAAGAAACCTTCGAGAAACGTTTTTTCGTTTTGAAAGAAACACTTTAAACAATTAGATCTATTGTCAACTACACTTAGCAATTGCAACAAAACTCTTTTAGTTTACCAATGATTATCTGTGAGTTAATAAACTAAAAAAGTCTTCTTCTGATCTCATTTGCTTTTATGTTTCCTTCATTCTTATCTGCGTAATGATGATCTTTTATCACGAGTTTTTATCACTATTTATATGCTTTGTTTAGCACCACGACCGGTGCGCTCCCATTTTAATTCTTTAATATATTTTTCTTGCGATAACTAAAATATGTCCACTTATAAATTTTATTTTTCAATTGTAAACTATTTATTTAAATGGTCATATTTTCGTTATCGTCTATTCACTTTGATTCATCAAAATAAACAATCACCCTTCTTTCTTATCATTCACCTTTTTTTATTGACAATTAGATAGCAACATTAAGCAAACAAAGGGGATAGCTTTAGTCCCTAGAACTTAATATCCGTTGTTTGAAGACAATTCAACTTATTTTATCTGGGATTCCCTACAATAGTTAATCAGTCAATAAATAAATCATATCATATTAACGTTATATTATTTCTTTGATAATATTAGAGAGAGAAGGAAAGAGAAGTATAGAAACTTACATGTCAAAATATAAAAATCTATTAATATACTATTTAATGGTAAAAAGATATGCTAATAACGCATATGTTAATTTGCTAGAAATACTTACCTCTCAAACTTTACGATTCCGTTCCTCGCTAATTATCTCTATGATCTTGTATTGGTGCACAATAAAGTGTTAAATATTTCACTTTAGATAAATGGCATTATCCTTAAGACACATTAATAACTACATTCTTGCAACTTCTTTTCGTCGAATCGTTTGTAATCACACGATGATCATTTGTCACTGCAGATTTCAACTGTCATTTGAATTAAATACTTGATTATTTAATCAAGTCACATGACTCGAGCATCGAAAATTCTGATTCATTGTTAGATTAAGATTTTACCGATAATTATTGCCATATATTTGTTGCAAATTATATATAACGCGATTAAATAACTCTTTTTTGTTTCATGTTAAAAGAATTGAAAATTCATCACTTTCTTAATTAATTTATTAGTCACGTCCGCCGATGAAAGTAACTCTCTCACGCGATGATTTATGAGACAATTGTGCCAATAAAACGTTCACTTAGCTTTTTCTTTTATATAAAATTCTACGCTTGTTAAGCTTATCGGCATCGCTGTCGATCGGAGCTAAAAAATGCTGATAAGTGAAACAGCTCAGGTGCTATCGACAGGCCGGCCTCGATGCCACTAACAGAAAAACATGCTCACCTTTTCTGCAGTGGTAGATACAGTCGACGACGTGGGGATATTGGTAATTATTATCGTTAGGCACTCTTATCCTGCGATATACCGAGCGTCGCATTCACATCATCAAGTACAATTCGATTATCACCTTTTATATTTATAAATTACAATTACTATATTAATAATACAAAATTAGGATATTGTATAAAACTAATAAATTAGTCACGCATAAGATTAATATAAAAAATAAAGCTTTGTCACATGTACATGTATATTCTTATAACGTATAGAGAAACTTTACGTTTATATCCTAAAGCAGTCTTTACATTTTTATCTTAATATTTAAATCGATACTATAATATATATGGAAAGAACGATTTTGTCGAAATTTTTAGATTGATGTTTTAGTAAGAACGTTCTTTCCGTGTGTGAAGTTAATTGACATTCTTACTCTTATCGTTGTTCGCCGCTTTGCTCGACCGCTTTAATCATTGCGGAAAAGACTCCGTTCTGTCTTTGCATTAAATCTGCTGGTGAGCCTTCTTCGATAATTTTGCCCTCGTCGAAAACAATGATGCGATCGCAATATAACAAAGCCGCTGCTCGATGCTGCATACAGAAAGTAGTTTTGTTAAAATATTATTCTTATCTAGTTGAAGATTCATTTTTCAAGCATAAAAATTTTAGAAAATATTAAAAAACGCTCTTTTTACTTTTTTAGTTTATTGATAAGAAATGTTTATTACCATCAAGCTTAAAATATGTTTAACTGATATCAATATATTCTAATAATCTATATTATAAAATTTCAAATTTATTCCTGCATGGCATTTAAGAATTCAAGATAAGTAACTTTATATTTAGCAAGTACGTAGACTTATCATTTAATTAATAGTTTGATAACATCCAAGAAAAATCGATCAAATTGCAATAAAAAACTAGTTAATTCAACATTGATGGAATACATCGATTACTCATTTAGCAAAATGTACATTTAATTTATCGAACGCTTACTTACCGCAATGGTGATTACAGTTCTGTCCTCGAAAGCGACAGCAACCGCTTTTAGAAGAGATTTCTCAGTGGCTATATCAAGTGCACTAGTCGCTTCATCGAGAACGACGATACTCGATCGCTGAAGAATCGCACGTGCCATGCAAAGCAGTTGCAGCTGACCTGCTGAAAAGTTCTCGCCGCCTTCTCGTACCTCGAGACCTACATCACAATTAATTTCAAATATATTATATTGTTATTTTGAACGTATTATGTTATTTATCGTATTAATTTTACGCATATTATATTATATTACGTACTCAGTCCCTCGGGATGCGAAGCTATTACATCCTTGATTTGTGAAAGTTCCAAGGATCGCCAAATTTCTTGATCCTCATGTTCCGAAAACGGATCTAAATTTTCTCTACAAACAGTAATTAATTTTAAGCTTGAATATATGTACTTAATTTTTAGATAAACACCGTATATGATACGTATTATGCGATGCAAATACAAGCTGTGAATTGCGAGCCGCGTTAAAAACTAGATATTTGGCAGTAATAAAAGATTTATGACTGTATTATTTGCGCACCTGATCGTGCCGCTAAACATTATTGCATCTTGCGGTATGGCCGATAACCGAGATCGTAGTATTCGAACAGGCACTTGCCGGATATCAATTCCATCCAACAGGATGCGTCCTTGACTGATTTCGATCAGTTGGAAGAGGGCCATTACGGTTGATGATTTTCCGCTACCGGTCCTTCCACAAATGCCCAACTGCGAATATTAATCGTATAATAAAATATACAACAAATATATATATTTTATAAATAAATGTAATCATATCATATGATTGAAAAATACAATAAAATATGCAGTCTTAAAAAATGTATTTTATTTTGCCTATGTTATTATATTATATTATCTACTATATTATCTACAGATTATTGATTACTTTTTGACCAGCTGGTATTCTTAAAGACAAATCTGTGATCACCGGATTTCTGTCAGCATCATAGCGCAGAAAGACATTCTCAAAAACGATCTCTCCTCTATTAGGCCAGTCACTGGCTACCCGTAAACCTAAAATTCAGCAGTTAAGATTAGCACGTATATGATAAGGAAGATAACGGGAAATAACTGGATGTTAGTTGACTTGTGAAAGATAATTTTGCGTTGTCTGGCGATTTGTACATTGTACGTGTCTTCGATAATACACAAATAAAACACCGAACCATTTCAGGAAGTTGATTAATTATCAATTGACAGATTTTGATCAATATTTAAATACAATTGAAGTACTGTATACAGTTTTGATAGATGATAATAATGAAAGACGAAATATTATCACGAAATAGTCAATTGATATTCAATAATAATATTTTAAAAACTAAAAATTATCGATCGTTTACTGGATTTAGATTGTGACTGTCACGAATTAAAAATTATTAACGTCATGACTCGGATTATTAATACATTTTGTTTATCGATATTTTATTATATAAGCTTTTCATATCTTCGCAAATTAAGAAGTTTCAGCGAATTTTAGGTTGAAAATTACCGTTTTCATGAAGCTTCTCCGGTTGCACATTTTTGTAAGCGCAAATTCGAGCTACACTTCCC